GTGGGGAGGGGAAGGGGGGAGAGGAATCGGGGAGACGAAGGGAAAGGGAAGGGAAAAGGAAGGGGAAGGGAAAGGGAAGGGAAGACATTAGAGGTTGCTAGGGGTTGGCAGAAAGGCAACAGGGAGTGCATAACAAGGTTTTCTTTTGGAGTGAATAAAATGTTATAAAAGTAGATAGTGATTGGTCAATAACACTGTGAATGTACTATATGCCACTAAATGGTACAATTTAAAATTTTTTAATGGTAACTTTTGTGTATTTTACCATAAAAAAGAAAAAAAGAAAGCTCTATACAAAGAAAGTACAAGGAAAAAGGAAAGGAAGATGTAAAACAGTCTGTCTAAGAACCCTCACAAGAAAACAATTCATTAGAACAAACGAAACTGTGATCAAAATTGGCGTGAAATTACTGCATTTAATGAAGCTATCATCTCTACAACAAGAGATCAATGTAGCCATTCCAGAACTCAAGCAAGAGTGACAACAGAAAGAGCTGAAATGTAGTAGCAGCATGAAGAAAAAAGAAGCATCAAACTATGAAAATGAGGGGTTAAGGGTGCTCCTTTCTTATTACAGAATTGAAAATTATTTAGCCCTATAAACTATGTGAATATACAATTCAATTTAAAAGTAAACAGAAACACTAAAATAGCAAAACAACAACAACAGCTCAGACTATTTTTATTTCTTACTCATGGAAAATAACGACAAAATCTTTTAGTGACTATAAACACAAGAGTGTCTTTAAATATTGACTCATATAGGATGGAAAAGTTAAATCAAACTAAACTAATGGGAACAACGTTTCCAAATGGTTCAGCCTCTCCTGTGGTTGTAGTAAACCAAACACCCAGGATCACATGGAGGTGGCTGTCCAATGAAGACTTACAATACTTAAGGACACTCTTTTTTCATGGTGATTTTACTATCTCCACCTGGTTCAAACCAATCCTTCTGTGCATCCATTAATTTATTCAACAGACATTACTAAGCACCTGTAAGTGCCAGGTGCTTGACCCATTTCAAGTCTCGCCTTCGTTTGCTAATGTATCTGACTTCAGTTTAACAACATGGCACTGGTCTCCCTGCTTCATCTTTGTTACCTCTGTTTCCCTCTAGATATTGATCTCCATGTGTCTAGCCATGATCTAATAACTTGATAACTAATAACTAATAAAAACCAATAATTAACAACTTGATGACAACTTTTTTGCCTTCCTTGTTTGATAATTTTATTTTTCATTTTTTGAACTTGACTTGGAGCCTTATCTGGAGAGCCAGAAAGGCATAAGCCCTTGCTGCTGATGTCTGTCCACATAGAAATAAATGCTTACCATCTAGTATTTCTCTCTAGCTACTGTCTCTTCCCATATTGCAGATTTACTTGTGTTAAATCTGCTTGAGCAAAAACTTCCATAAATTACTTTTGAATGATCTTCTACAGGGCACATGGTATTGTTAAAGGGATAGACTACGTTCTTTCCTAAGTACCTACTAGCTGTATCACTTATATTAACAGCTTGTACTCAGCTTTATTACTTACAGTAAATATATCCTCATGGCCGTCCTGAAATCGAGCCCCATCTGTTCCATAAAGATATATGGGGGCTGAACTTCTATGTTGTCCATACAGAATAATATAAATCTGTGAGCTGGTCCCTGCATCTGGCAAGTCACTGGTGATTATAAAAACTTTCCAGTTACTACCTATAAAAGAAAAAATAACATACAGCATTATGGCAACTGATAGAAATGGAAGACTCAGAACAACAGGTCATCATAAAAGTAGGAGGGTTCAGGATAGACAAAACTTATTCTTCATCTCGTCTGAAGAAGTGCCATAATAGAAGATTTATATTTGGAATTTAAAATACTCAATAAAATCACTATTTCCTACAATGTGACAGTGAGAATATTTCCAAAAAGATCGTTAGTGAGGCTAGAGTGGTATCATTACCATATTATTGTTGGTCATACCTGGACTCCAAGAGAGTCACTAAACAACTTCTTTGAAGCTCCCAATATTTTGACAAAAAAAATCTCCAATATTCTCAGCTCTGGCATGTAACATGTGCATTGAGAATTAATGCCTTTTAGGATATTTTTTGAGTTTAGATATTTATTTTCCAAAATAAAAATTTATATGATAATTAAGAATATAAACTGGAATTGGTGAGTAGAATTTGGGAGTTATCTGCTATAATTTATTCATTTATTATTTTAAGTATCCTCAATTAATAAAGTAACTAAATCCTACAAACAGAAGCATATTTTGTATCACCTACAAACAAATGAAAACAATGCTAGAAAACATATGGCTCATTGTGAACAAAACTGAGACAGACTAAACATTATAGTACATTCATGGTGGTATGATACAATATCCTAGGATTTCGATTTAATTTTGCCAGGTTTCTGTGCGATAAACATCAGTGTATTATTTCATTTTCACATTGCTATAAAGTT